TCTTCCTTTTTTTAGTAACTCTAATTATGATCATGGGCAAACTATGTGTATACTAATAATTTAGAATTAATACCGAGCCCTAGTATTTTAAACTTGGAAAACAAAGTACTATCTTCATTAGCTTCATTTTAGGACAGACAAAATTATACATAATAAACCTGGTTTATTAAAATCAGATAAACCAATAGAGGTTTAAATGTAGCTTCTTCATCATTAATTGTTATGGTCTCCGCAAAGATTACCAAGAAAGCCTGTGTCCGACAGAAAAGCTGGGCTTATTAATAATCTTGCCAGGGCCAGGTACAGTGGCTCACTCTGTAATCCCAGCACTTTGGGAGGCCAAGGTAGGAGGATCACTTGAGGCCAGGAGTTTAAGACCAGTCTGGATAATATAGTGAGACCCTGTCTCTACAAAAAATTTAAAAATTACCTGGACCTGGTGGTGCACACATATAGTCCCAGTGACTTTTGAGGCTGAGGCAGGAGGATTGCGTGAGCCCAGGAGTTTCAGGTTACAATGAGCTATGTTGTATCACTGCACTGCAGCCTGGGCAACAAAGCAAGACCCTTTCTCAAAAAAACAAACAGAAATCTTGCTGTCTAGGGAGAGCACTTTAAAAAGTATCTCACAACATCCTGGAAAGAAGTTACAGGAAAGGTTTTTATAGGCTTAGGATTAGGGTTAGCATTAGAACTCAGGCTTTCTAAAGTAGAGAATGGGTAGATGACAGTCACTTTCAGTTGGCATGCAGGTTGGGTATAGGCACAGAGCAGTGATTTTCCAGTGAGTTGTTGGCAGAAACATCTAAAATCATTTCTTTCCAGAGCAGGTAGAACTGGTTCTTGCTTGTTTTGCAGTCTTCATAAATTTTCGTTTCTCGGCGTAAGTTTGATTTTTATTTCTTAATTCTGTACTGTCTAATTGGGTTTAATGAGATAAATTCGGTTAGCCCTCTTTTGTAGTTCATTTTCACACTGCATTTTAAAAAGGTAGAAATTCAAGATATTTTCCAGCTTGTTAGAATTTAAATACACGAAATTATATATACATAAATATATGTATGCCTGTTACTTCATTTTTTTAAATTGGCAACAGTTGGACTTAACTGTA